TGATAAAAATTGGCAAAGAAAAATTGAATGGGTCAGGAGAAGAAGGGAAAGATTTCACTGGAGAAACTGACGAGTGAAACGGAAAAATTTCAATTTGACAATTTTCCAGCGCCAATTTTTAAATAATCACAATTTCATAATTTTTCAGAATTTCAGAAGTTCACAATTCTTCACAATTTCAGAATTTCAGAATTTTTCACAATTACAGAATTTCAGAATTTCGTACTTTCAGAATTTTTCAGAATTGCACACTTTCAGAATTTCACAATTTCAGAATTTCAGAATTTTTCACAATTGCAGAATTTCAGAATTTCTCATGATTCCAGAATTCCGTACTTTCAGAATTTTTCAGAATTGCACACTTTCAGAATTTCACAATTTCATAATTTCACAATTTCAGAATTTCAGAATTTTTCACAATTACAGAATTTCAGAATTTCTCATAATTCCAGAATTTCGTACTTTCAGAATTTTTCAGAATTGCACACTTTCATAATTTCACAATTTCACACTTTCAGAATTTCACACTTTCACAATTTCATAATTAATATAATTTTTAACTAATTCCTACATCAATTATTTGTACTCTTTTCCTCCTTCTCGCGGAAATTTCCAATTTCCAAATCGGAAAATTAAGAAAGATAATCTGAAGAAAACTGTGCTTTCCCTTTCTCTTTAGATAATTCTGCTGAGTGCCTTTTTCGGAAGGATTACCGGGACACCGATCGCCAACGTTTGGCTAAGTCCAGTGGGATCCCTAACTCCGTTGAGGCAATTTCATATACAGGACGGATCCGGCGGATATCATTACTCATTCACGGGGCCCCATCACGCGAAATCTGAATCCAGTTTAAACGGAATCACGCAGGGTGGTAAGTCGACGCAATTACCCTCGCTGAACGAGGCTGAATTCTTCATGGTAAATCTGTGGCAAGCCTCTCAAACCTCGTATTCCTCGTGATATTGAAAACTGTCGTACCATGTTACCATACTCATCTCGAGATCTATTTTTCTTTCCATTTAAAGTTGACATTCGCGATCTTTCTTTTCAGTCATTTCTAATATTTTTTAAACTTACTTTTTATCACATTTTTTCAAATATTCTATTTTCTTTTATTATTTCTTCTTTTTTAAATTATTCTCCGATTAGGTCTTTTTAATATTCATTATTCAAGCACTTTATCCAGTCCTAGCAAAAGCATTCATTTCTGCAGTTCGAAATTCCGAGTTCGATAAATTTTGCAAATATTTAAATTGATATATAAATAGTAAATGTTTTATTTTCCCAGCAAAAATCAAATGACAAATTACGTTTATAGTGGTTGAATTGATGCAAGAAAATCTTGAAATATTATACGAGCATAAACGGTTAAATCTTTACAAAAATGTATTCAATTATTTAAGAACAACAATAATTAAAAATATCGTTGTCTATCGTATTCTTCATTAATTTCCATTAAAAATTGCTCAAATCAAATTAAATTTCTCCTTAACCAATACCAACTAATTAAGCAACAATTTCCCAAGACAAATTATATTTACAGTCATTGAAATAATGCAAGAAAATCTCGAAACACTATTCCAGCATAAACGCTAAATCTTCACCAAAATATATTCAATAATTCAAAATTCAACAATAACTAAAAAATCATTGTCTACTACATTCCTCGTTAATCTCCATTAAAAATTCCTAAGATCAAAATAAATTCCTCTTAACCAATTAACACTAATCGTACCATGGCCCGGTCAAATGACCAGTTTTAAAATTTCAATTTAAAACCATTTTTCACCCTGTACTTTCTTAAAAATAAAAATATGTAATTTTTTTATATTATTATTATCTAAAGGCTGTTTCCTATATTAAATTGACAATCACCAGCATTCCTTTCGGAAGAAATATGATTATTTCGTAACCGGTCATTTGCCCGGATAATTGTCGGTACGGTTAGTGTTAAGCAACGAATTTCCCCCAAAATCCCATCGAAACAGCTCCCCGATATTCCCTTCCGTCTCAACAATATCTCCTCAAACACTAGAAACTACGATTTCCAAAAGATCGCTCGATCCGTTAACAATCTCCCCCGCGAAACGCGAGATATCAACGTTATCAAAATTCTGTTCCATCTGTTAACAATTTCCCCCTTGAAACATCAGATATTAATGTTTCTAAAATTCGCTACCACGAGAGGAGTATGAATGGCATCCTTACTCGAGCATTCTCCAGATAACCGTTGCCTTCGTTAATTATAAAGGAACGAAGCTTCGTCCCTATTGCAGGATGAAAATCGACAAGTTCATTCGCGGACTCGCATATCTGCCGGATGACTCGTAAAAGCCCGCGGATGGCACACATTCCTTTACCGAGTGTTTCCGTGGCAAAGAGAGAGAGAGGAGAGCACAGCCCACGACGACCACTTGAGAAACGATGATCGATGTGACGCAACAAACGCCCCTGCGATAGATCCATCTTCGCGTCGAGTCTCTTAAACAATGCATGCCTCTTTCCTTGTCGCGTCCTTTTCAAACCGTCTCTCTACATATAGAACGTATGCTCGACCGGACGAGTACCACGAGCAATCGACGTTTGATTCATCGACGGAGAAATAGGAAACTGCATAATGCACGAGCAACGTCGTTTCACTTTTATTCTTTCACCTTCTACTTGAGAAATGGAGAAATTCATAATTCACGGTGTACCGACGGTTTTTTTATTTCTTCGATTATCGGAATTTTTGCTGGGGATGTGGAGGTATCTGGTTGTTCGGAGAGGATTTCTTTGGATACTTGGGACATTATTTTGAAAGGGTGGCCTTTTGCGAATTTTTGGAAGTATATCTGTAATATTTTTGGGGGGGG